GGACTATAGTCAATAATACTGTAATAACTTCATAAGGTGATAGATGGTAACTACACTTATGGTGAGCATTTTATAATGTATATAATTGTGAATCACTATTTTGTATACCTGAAACTAATAAAATACTGTATGTCAACTATACTTCAATGAAAATAAAAATCTGAAAACCTCAGTTATTTTTAGAATAATTAAAAATAAAAATATAGGTCACATTTTACTAGAGGTTTTAGAGCAGAGGAATGTCATGGTCCCTTTAAAATGTAACTCTTACTAAGGGGGAAGCAGAGAGACCACCTGGGAGGCTGTTGCTGTAATCTAATTAAGACATGATAGGGGTGCCTGGGTGGCTCAGATGGTTAAGCATCTGCCTTCGGCTCAGGTCATGATCCCAGGGTCCTGGGATCGAGCCCCACATCAGGCTCCCTGCTCAGTGGGGAATCTGCTTCTCCCTTTCCCACTCCCCCTGCCTGTGTTCCCTCTCTAGCTGTGTCTCTCTCTGTCAAATAAATAAATAAAATCTTAAAAAAAAAAAGACATGCTAGTGACTTATTCCAAGGTCACATTAGATAACATAGGAGGGTATTAGGACTTCCAGGAATCTTTTTTGTTTGCTTCAAAATCTCAGTTTTTCATGACAGCTCAATATTTAGATTTTTTTTTAAATTTAAATTCAATTTAGTTAACATATAGTGTATTAGTTTCAGGAGTAGAATTTAGTGATTCATGGGTTGCATGTAATAGCCGGTGCTCATTCCATCAAGTGCCCTCCTTAATGCCCATCACCCAGTTACTCCATCCCCCCACCCACCGCCCCTCCAGCAACCCTGTTTGTTCCCTATAGTTAAGAGTCTTTTATGGTTTGCCTCCCCCTCTGTTTTTATCTTATTTTATTTTTCCTTCCCTTCCCCTATGTTCATCTGTTTTGTTTCTTAAATTCCACATATGAGTGAAATCATATGGTATTTGTCTTTCTCTGACTTACTTCACTTAGCATAGTACCCTCTAGTTCCAACCACATCGTAGGAAATGGCAAGATTTCATTCGTTTTGATGGCTGAGTAATATTCCATACCACATCTTCTTTATCCATTCATCTGTTGACGGACATCTGGGTTCTTTCTGTATTTTGGCTATTGTGAACATTGATGCTATAAACATTGGGGTGCAGGTGCCCCAAAGCTACTGCAAACTATTTGATAAGATGTTCACACTAAAATACTTTTTAAAAAGTTAACCAGTGATCTTTATTGACCTCATAGTTAAGCTTGAAATAATCACAGTAATTGTAGTCAGCATCATTATACAAGTAGGACTGCTTAAAAAGTGCATTGTCAGCATTGTAGGGTTTTTTTTTAAATTTAGGATTATCCACAACATGTTAATCAAAACTGATGTACCAGTCTACCTTTTTTGTTGGCGTTTCATTGTTGGTAGATTATTAGGTCACTTCCTGGAAGTTCATCATGTTCTATTTAAAGAATATCAACCAAGTTGGGGCACCTGGCTGGCTCAGTTGGTAGAACATGCAACTCTTGATCTTGGGGTCCTGAGTTTAAGCCCCACATGGAGCATAGAGCTTACTTAAACAAACAAACAAAAAAAAGACAACTGTCAACCAAGTTACCTGCATGGGTAATTCCACCAAAATTGTGTTCCTGAATTCTAGATTATGTTCTCTTTATGGAATACAGGAACTTTCAGTAATAAACGTTTGACTTTAAACAGTGTATCTATTGTATTTCCTTGTAGTGATCCTGAATAAAAGCATGCTCTAATTTACCTTAGTTTAAACTTTCCACTCTCATAAAAACTGGAAACCCTACTTTTATTATCAACTTTTTCTTTTTTTAATTCCAGTCTTAGTCTTCTGTCCCTTGTGTATTTTTTTATTATTTTTTAATTTTTTATTGTTATGTTAATCACCATACATTACATCATTAGTTCTTGATTTTTTTTTTAATTTTATTTATTTATTTGACAGAGAAAGAGAGTACAAACAGGGAAGTGGGGGAGGGAGAAGCAGGCTCCCTGCCAAGCAGAGAGCCTGACATGGACCCTAGGATCTTGACCTGAGCCGAAGGCAGATGTTTAACTGAGCCACCCAGGCACCCCTCAACTTTTTCTTTTTAATTCAATATTTATTTGGTTTAATACGCTTTTTAAAACTCTTTTTTGCAAATTTCCATATGTATTATCACTACTCAAAAGTAGAAAGCACAATGACCTCATGTGTACCTAGCCCCCAGTTTTATCAACTTCCTGCCATACTTCAAAAAGTAATCTATAATCTCCTTTTTGCTGAAATATTTTAATCAAATTTTGATATGTGCTGTTATTCATCCCTAAGTATTTGTGTGTATCTTAAAACCAAATTAAAGACGGATGTTTTCTTAAGTAACCACAATATAATATCACATCTATCGTGATTAACAATTCCTTAATATCATCTAATACCCAGTCCATATTCACATTTTCCTCAAATCTGAAAACATTCTTTCTGTATTTTCAGGTAATTTGATCCAGATCGAAAATTGGCCCACTCACTGTGTGTAGTTTTGTTACCTTATATCTCTCTTAACCAGAAACAGGTGGTCTGTCATCCCCCCCTTTTTGTTGCATGCCTTTCTCTTGTAAAAAAAAAAAAACAAAAACAAAACACAAAAAACCTGGTCAGTTTTCCTGTAGTATGCATGGGTTTGTTTCATTTGTTCCTCCAGAGTTATTATAGATCAGAAGTTAGAGCAAAGCCTTCTTAAACTCAGGTTTGGTTACTTTTTTGGTGTTACTATTTCCTATAGTATTAAATGAGAAGGCTTATAATATTTGTTGAACCTTTAGTTGATTGATCAATAGGTTTAGGTTATCTCGATCTTAGCTTTTCATCGTAGGGTTTCCTGTTAGTCTTCTCTGTGGGATGCTAAAACCATTGATGATTATTGCCTGGATCCAATTATTTTTTTAAAGATTTTATTTATTAAAGAGAGAGAGCACACGAGCGGGGGGCAGGGGAGAGGCAGAGGGAGAGGGAGAAGCAGGCTCTCCACTGAGCAGGGAGCCTGATGCGGGGCTCAGGCCCGCATGATCCCAGGATCATGACCTGAGCCGAAGGCAGATGCTTTCCCAACTGAGCCACCCAGGCGCCCCAGGATCCAATTATTTTATTAGGAGTTGCAAAATGATCATTTTCTAACCATGTCACTACCTCTGCATATCTTAATGGATGTTAACAGAACTCCTCTTGTATACCAGAGCTGTTTGGTTAACTTGAAATAATGCTTCATAACAGAAAAGCAGAATAAATGAAGGGAAAATAATTATCAGTTTTCACAGTAATGAATTGATGCATTAGCAACCTACACTGGCGTCCAGTGAATTTTGTTTCTCTCTTCTAAGTATCATTTTGAGCTCATGACTTTTTATATATTCAGTATGTTTTAATAAATTGCAGTCATTATTCCTTCTGATGTCGGTGTCTCATCTTTGGCCATTGGGAGCCCCTTCAGGCTGGCTCCTGTGTCCTTTTGGTACAACTGTATTGGCCTTTGATAGCCTCGCTTTTTGGCTCAACAAGATATTCCAGGTTAATCTTACCCATTTCTTGCCCCAGACAGAGAATCATGCATTTTTCTGAGAAAATGTTCCCTGGTTATCTTCTTTATATAGCACCTGTCTTGATCTGTACACTGTGATCCTGAAAAACTCATACTTTGTTCTCTGTATCTCATTGTACAATTTACTGTTATGTATCATGCCTTTTCTGCATTTGTTGTTTATATTAAATCACAGGCCCTCAGGTCTTTTGGTGCCCAGTGTAGCATGGTCTTCTCCCTTGTTCTTGTGTCTTGTCATATGGCACATGCCTACATTCACCTTAGTACTTCATTGCTTAGTACTTCTTAGTCTCTGTTGCTCCATGTTTGTTTAATGGGTTTGTCTTTTTTCAAGAAATTTATAATTTTCTACAGGTTAGGACATATCCATTACTTTATAAGTTAAAAAGAAAATCTATTAAGGAATATAGTGATAACTGAATAACTAGTAATTGAAGTGAAGGACATATTTTGCTTGGCTGACTTATGGCCACGTTTGCCAACAATTTGACGCCAGTAGTGCCAATGCTGTATTTAAATCCAAGCCAAACTTAATCATAAGTCTTTACACTTGAATTTCAAGTACAGGGGGTTTAAAAGTATTCAAATTAATGTATGGGAAAGGAGGAACAAATATTCTATTTAGAGAATAAAAACTTGGTCTTTGGTTCTAGAATGTAGTTTTAAGGCACACTCAAGAAAACTACTTTCAGATGGTCATTACTTCTGGTGCCTGGCTTCAATTCCTGCTTGGCTTAGCTTCATTATTGGTGGCCCAGAACTTGGCTGATAAGTAGGAGAATTGGAAGCAAGACTGGCTGCCTGGCAAAACCTACTTGGGGTGACTTGAATTGCTTTTGATCTTATTTGTCATCTTATCAACTATTTTTTTGTACTGCTAAATGAGTCGACTTTTTATGGTTTTTAACGAATGAAAACCAGAAAAGTCAGACTATTTCTAACACTTAAAAATGTGACCGTAGTCCTGTAATAACATTGAAGCTACCCATCATAATAAGATGAGACTGTGTTAATTTGTTTTATGATTACAGTTGGAAGAAGTAGCTAAGGTGATGTGTCTCATCTGTCTACTACTTCTTCTCTTACCCCCCAAGGAAGAGGCTGGAGATTCTTTACAATATAAAGAATAAAAAGATAAATTTTAAAATAGATTTGGGGGCACCTGGGTGGCTCAGTCAGTTAAGCATCCGACTCTTGATTTCAGCTCAGGTCATGATCTCAGGGTGGTGAGATCGAGCCCCGTGTCAGGCTCCGTGCTGGGTGTGGAGCCTGCTTAAGATTCTCCCTCTCCTTCTGCCCCTTCCCCACACTTCCTCTAAATAAATAAATAGATAAATAAATAAATGATTTGTATTCATATTCAGACAACACTTCTTGTGTTTGGTTATAGGTCCTGTTATTGCCTTGGAGTTTAATGGAGATGGAGCTGTAGAAGGATGCCAGCTTATTGTCAATGAGATATTCAATGGGACCAAGGTACAAGATTTTATTATTTCTATCTCAGTCAGACCTTTCATGTCATTTCCTTTTCCTTACAATTAAATAGTACTTTTATCCCTGTTGTTGCTTGGAATTAAAAAAATAAAAAAAAAGAACAGACCATGATTTTTAGAATCTATGGTAAACAATTGGGAGCTAAGCTTTGGTTTTTCCTTGCCAAATTAAAATTTTAAGTGCTTAAAAATTTACAAAATAAGAATCTACTAATTTAAAGATTTTTTTTTATTTATTTGTCAGAGAGAGAGAGCACAAGCAGGGGGAATGGCAAGCAGAAGGAGGAGCAGGCTTCCCCGCTAAGCAAGGAGCCCAATGTGGGGCTCAATCCCAGGACCCTGGGATCATGACCTGAGCCGAGGGCAGACACTTAACCAACTGAGCCACCCCAGGCGTCCCAAGAATCTACTAATTTAAAAACCGTCAATAATACATGAGTTTCTAAAGTAAAAAGTCTCATTAAATGTCTCTTTACGTCCTTCCTTTTTTGAAAACTAGTGATATGTTGAAAAATGTTATATTTCTAAGGTTATATACTTTAGACGGATGATCCTGTTGCCCACTGTTCATTTTTATTTGTTTCAGTAATGCTTCATCACACATTGAATTTGGGGGGCACCTGGGTGGCTCAGCCGGTTAAGTGTCCCAATTCTTGATCTCGGTTCAGGTCTTGATCTCACGGTGGTGGGTTCGAGCCCAGCACAGAGCCCATTAAAAAAAAAAACAAAAACACAATGAATTTGAGCTATATCTAGAAGTCGTTACATGTAGGTAGTTTCTAGATATGTTGATGAGGTTGGTGTATCTAAGAATTTCAGACTTAATATAACTTAAAAACCAAACATATAAGAGTACTAAATGAGTATAGATATAACTAATAATTTTTTGATAAATATCTGAGATAAAATTTTTGGTTTTGTTGTCTGATTTGGCTAATAGTTTCTTGAACTTGCATAATTTAAAGTACTTTGTCTTTTGTCTCATTTTACCATCACAACAGTACTAAGGGGAAGGGCAAATATGATTAGGTTGAATAGAAAAGGAAGCAAAGAGAAAATGGTTATATGATTTGGAGGTTTTAGATCTGAATGAGGAGTCAAAGATTATCTAATTCCAGTGTTCTCATTTTGCAGGTGTGGAAAGTGAGCCCACAGAGATTTATTGAATGAATTGTCAGCATCATACAGCTAGTTTATGATAAAGCTAGAATAGAGCCCAGGTCTCCTCTAATTCCTGGCTGACATTTGTAAAAACGATTTTTGGAGGGTTCTACCAAGTACTGCTTTACTTCTGTTTAGCAGATAGTTCATTTAAAATTAGTAATATATCTTTAGCAGCTTTAAAAATGATAATCTTAAGTCTTGCTTCTCAGCCTATTGAGATTGTTATTAGGAAATAGAAGAAACTAAGAATTCTTTAAATAAACCTCTCTTCAGTAAGTAGCTTTCATAATATTGACTCTTGTATATTTAAAAAACAGTAAAATTCCAAGTGTGATAAAGTACAACTGAAGTATTATGAAAGCGAAGACCTTAATTATATCGTAAGTGCTTTTAAAAGAGCTCAATTTACATTATAGCTATTGAAACTATATTGTATGGATTCTCCAGAATACTGATTAAATATTATATAAATGGTGTACTTGAATTTCTTCTAATAGCAAGCTTGTGACTGTTCTATAGACAACATGGGCTTTGGAATTTGGGGATTACTGGTATTTATTTTTTGCTTCTTCTATATTTAAAATAGATGTTTGTATCAGAAAGCAAGGAGACAGCATCTGGAGATGTAGACAGCTTCTACAACTTTGCTGACATACAGATGGGAATATGAAGTGCAATGTGGAACCAAGGACTTGGTATTAAGCCCTTTTTAATTTGTGTATTAGCAACGGTTTTTACTAATGATAAAACTGTTAATGTTTATTTTTTAGTAAACTGTTGAATACTGCATCATTTACTTCAGGTTCAAAATTAGTTTGTTTTGGGGCATCTGGTTGGCTCAGTCGGTAGAGCATAGGACTCGATCTCAGGGTTGGGAGTTCAAGCCCTGTGTTGGGCATGGAGCCTACAAAAAAAAAAAAGTTCATTTTAAATTCAGTAGTTTTAGTCAGCTTAAAAACTATTTAACCTACTTCAATAAGGTTGTGGTTTTGTTTCTCTGCTTATGATATCGTTATTAGAACATAGAAGTGGCTAGCAGTTCATGATTTTAATCGTAATTAAATATCCTTTCAAATCTCTAAGAATTTAAACTTTCCTCAGTGCTCCATATTGTTTGAGAATACATTCCATTGCTTCTTTTCTTTTTTAATTTAGAGATTCATTACTAGTCGATCGATTAGAATGAACCTCTGCACATTTTTTTCATGTATACATAGCCAGTTAAATAATTGCTTAATGTGGCAAGTGAGATTTTGTACGCAGAATTGATATAGTACTTTATAAATTGCATTTTTTTAATTAATAGGGATTTGATAACCAGTTTTGCAATTAACTCTACTAACTGATGTTGGTGTAGCTGTTTCAAGACTACTTTGTGAGTAGTAGGATTATGTGAATAAATTCTACACCGTTTAGTTTTTGAACGCAACTGCTAGGTGACCCTTGTACTTCCTGGTAAGGAAAGGCATATGCAAGGCCAAGGCTAAATGTATAGAAGCCCGACCACTAGCAGCTTTCCAAAAGGTGAGATCACTAGCTCTTGTGGTTTATCAGGAGAATTGGAACAAAATCTTGTGACATTTAGGTATGAAATGCTTAACCATGATGATAAGCTATGCAGATTATTAAAAAAAAAAACTAGAGAGATTTGATTTTCATCAGATACACCTAATTTATCAAGTAGTGTTCAAGCATGATGAAACTGTTTTTGGCTGCTTTAAGCATTATTTCCCAAATCAACCCTCTGTAATTATTTACCAGGAGGCAGGGGAGAGCTACTTGTTTAAAAATCCACATCCTTGGACCCAGGCCCCAGATACGCTGCCTCATTCTCCAGGGGAAAGCTGGTTGTGAGGAGTTTGTTGTAAGCTAAAGTAATCAGTTCAGAAGGTGTTGATTGGGTGATCTGGAGAGAAGGGACTGAACCTTCCATGTACATCGTATAATAGCAGCTAATAGGAAATTAGCTTTCATAGGTCTATTTTTAAAAGGAACCTTAAATTTAAATCTATTTTGGTAAAACCAAGACTGAAATTAGCCACTTATAAAAATCCCTCTTATGTTTTTACTAAAAATGTATTTTCATGTGTAAACTGCTTTTGAATATATCAGATTAATTTATAACTACTATATTGAACTGTGTGTTGATGTTCCGAAATAATACATTCAAAGACTTTTCACTTTAGTAAGTAAAATTGACTACCTACCCTGTGTCTGGCCTCGTCCTAACCAGTAGCATTGTATTATTTCAGTCTTTTGTAAGAGCATTCTATACTACATTCTCAACCTCTTCTTTAAATCAGAATGATTTCATGAGATGCAAATAAAACTTGGTGACAGGTTTAACATAATTATAATCATAATTTACAAATAAGCTTTGTAATTAGTGGTCAGAGGGCATTGATTTTTCCCACAGTTAAACTAAATTAAGCTTATTCTTCTGATTGTGATTACATTATTAAATCCCATTATTCACACTTAAAGTAATTATAGTACCTTTTGGTTTTTAAAAATAAATATGTTACACAAAGCTGTAGACTGAGTTCTTCATTTTATCTATAGTATTTTAGCAAAAAACTCAGGAATATAACATATAAGGGAGATGTTAATTTTAAAATACCCACTAAATTTAGTATCTATTAACCAAAGCCTAAAATTTTATATTCTTCAATTGGATAAGAGCTTTTACCCAAGCTTAATTTGTCTTTAAGGACAGTCATTTGGCCTCTGAATGTTTGAAAAGATTTTTAAAAATAAGTAGTGCTATGGTTGTTGTTTCTATAATAACAAATGTTGATAGTAATTATACTGCATTTCATTTTTAATAGCCTTTTAACTCATGACCATTTATTAGCAAGGAAAAATTAGTAATTTTATTAAGTTATACATGTTTAAACATTAGCTTATTTCTCTTGTGTTATTAGTACTGCTGTTTTTGCTTCTGTATATTTCTGTCTAGCTTTTGTATGTAATTTATATCTAGTGTTTATAAAACGTGATTTATAATAAATGTCGTTAAAACGAAAATGGCTGGGGCGCCTGGCTGGCTCTGTCGGTAGAACATGCGACTCTTGATCTCAGGGTCGTGAGTTCAAGCCCCACACTGGGGCGGGTAGAGTTACTTTAAAAAATAAAATAAAATGAAAATGGCTTAACACCAATTTTTGAGGTGCGCTTCTATAACATACAGCGACTCATATATGTGCCAAGATTTGATCATGGCACAAATTTTTTAATGATAAAAGTAAAGTAGATGGTTCTAATCTCTGTCTTATGTTAATGAGACGTGAGCTGTGTGCCCTGTGTGTGTGTCTGTGTACAAAGCACTCTAGAGAAATGCAAAGGAAGCAGAAAACTTGTTTATATCTTAGGAATTTCCAATATAATGCTTCCTTTGTTGAAAGATACATTTTATTATGATTGAATACTAAGATTAGGCATTTCTCTCTTCCATATTTAAGAAAATAATGAATTGTTTATGGTATAATTTCTTGCAGGTTTATACAAATGGACCTTATTTACCAAATTAACCAGCCATTTGTACTCAACCTCTCCCTCTCCTAGCTCATAAATCAGAAGTACTGAAACTGCAGATTGGTTAGTTTTTTCAATGAGATCAAAAATACTGAAACTACAGATTGGTTAGTTTTTAAATAACATTCGTTATTTTTTCTGTATATGAAGCGTCTCCATATACGTTTAGAGCATGAAGGGGAAATAGAAAGGTACAAGACAATTGAAAAATTACTTCCTGGGCACCTGGGTGGCTTAGTTGGTTAAGTGTCTGCCTTCGGTTCAGGTCATGATCCCGGGGTCCTGGGATTGAGTCCCACATCAGGCTCCCTGCTCAGCGGGGAGCCTGCTTCTCCCTCTGCCTCTGCCTCTCTCTCTGTCAGTCTCTCATGAATAAATAAATAAAATCTGTAAAAAAAAGAAAAAGAAAAATTACTTCCTATTTATTGGATAGTTCTTGCTGTGTCAAGTTTAAAATTTATTTTTCTCATTTAAAAGCGACATATTTAACTTTGTTCTCTATAGAAAGAAATGATATTATAATTAGGGTATGATTACTCCTTCAAAATCCATTCTAGAAAATACTTTATCCTTTAAAAGCCTAACACTAAAAAATTTGAATTTTAGGAATGAAAACCTTTCTTTTTCTTTTTTTTTGCAAAAATGGAATAATTCACTGTTGACTTGGTTTTCTTTTTTGGTAGATAGTGTTGGAGGACAGTCAGTCCTACACAGGAGGGAAAGCAGTAAGCCCTTAAACCACATCTTTCTCTTTTGACATTTCGGCTTTTAGTGGCAAACTCCAGCAAGATGTTCCAAAAAGCAGTCTCTCCCTTTTCTAGTATTTGGGGCTTTCCTGGGGAGGGCGGGTTCTCACCTATAAATAGATGGTGGGAGAACAGGAGCACAGGTGGGCGAGAGCCCCGGCATGGTCAGCTGGGCTCTGATCCTCGTCAGGGGGGCCTGGTGCCCCCAATTTCAGTTTAATCTGGTCCACTTGTAATTGTCCTAATGAAAAGTAACTGGCCTATATGACAAGTAATGAAATGATGTTTATAAAGTATACCTTGAAAATACACTTTATGAATGTTAAGTATTCATAAAGTGAGTATGGTGTTCTTTTTAAGGAGTTCAGCTGGGGAGCCGTACACCCACCTACAAATAGGCAACTGAATAGGAGAAAGCAAGTATAAGAGGCGAAGACTTAAGTGCTGTTTTCTTATGATTGACACACTTCCATGTGTCAAATATAGGTCAGTTTGTTAGCCCATTAATGAAACCTTTTATAGGTGTCCCTGTGTGTGTGCACCTAACCCCAGCTGGTGTGCTGGAGAGCCCCTGAGCACCAACCCTAGTCCCCAGCACGGTCGCGGTTCCACCCCAACAAGATCGAAGAAACTAGCACGAACCAGGAGAAACTCGCCCAACAGTAGGCCCAGGTGTGCATTGGTGGGAAAGTGACTGCTCGCCAAAAGAGGATGCTTCATGGCACAGCTAAAGCAGATGGTAAAAACAAAAACTTCAGCTCTCCTTAAAGAACTTAGGGGTAAACAATATCATACTGAAGAGGTGAATATGTTCCCAAGCCAAGGAACAGTGAGTGGTCCACCCTCACAGCCCTGAAGTGCGGCCATCCCCGGCAGCAAACACTCGCACCATCACAGGCCATGCTGAGACAGAGCAGCTGACAGAAGTGCTACCCAGCATCTTCAACCAGCATGGTGCCAACCGTCTGACTGCTTGAAGAAGACTGGCTGAAGCTCTGCCTAAGTGATCTGTACACGGAAAAGCACCACTCGCTACCGGAGAGGAGGATGATAATAAAGCTCCAGATCTTGTGGAGAATTTTGAGGAGGCTTCCAAGAACAAAGCAAACCAAACGGAGTCAACTTCTGAAGAAGATAAAACTTGAGGAAGTTACTGGGAGCTGCTATTCAATATTATGACTGCTTCTTAAAATGTTGTTCATGGATCTGATAAGACATAGATCTCGAATATTTTTAAGCCCAAGCCCCTTGAACACCTCCACTCTTTGCAGGTTTTGCTTATACTTACTTCATTCTTTGCTGCTGATTAAGCTGAAGTAGCCTGGAAATAAAGTTTGAAGCAAGGTTAATAAAGTTCTTTGCCTAGCAAAGTAAATAAGTAAAAGTCAAATCTTTCATACTATTTCACCTTAACTTCCAAACAGATCATATCTTAAGTGATTCGAAAGCTTATCTCAGTGGAGTCCTCTGGTTTTAGGACTTTGAAGGGTCCGGACATTTTCAGTCCCTCAT